AGATCTGTAAAATGAGGAGCAAGTAAACTACTCTTGCCGCCTGCAAACATCCAACCAAAATCAAAATTGCGAAGAAATGGAATGGAGTGTCTGAGCAGACAAAAAAGATATGTGATTCGGAAAGAAAAATAGCATGTATAGAGACTGAAAAAGCAATCGAAAAGGGAAAGAACAGAGAAAAAGAGTAAGGGTACCCATGAAACAAAATACATAAGGCAATCAAAGAAAGAATAAAAAGGGGAGGTTCACAATAAATGAGGAGAGACAAAGAATCAGTAGAAAGGAGAGTGAAATTTGAAATAGAGCAAAGAGTCGAGAGGAATCATAATCCAAACTCACATACCCTTTTTTTTCAGTTGCCAACACAAACCATTCAAATCTTGTCGTGGTAAGTATGACTTGTTCACCCATTCTAAATCTTTTCATCGTTTACTTTCTCATCTTTGTCATGCAAAACTAAGTGAAGTTATCTTACTTTGTATTAGTAATAAAAAATAAGAATGTAGGAACTTAAAAAAAAAGCCTCACTTTTTGTCTTATTCCCTTAGCTTGCCCATGTAACCATAATTGTTAAGACTTCCCATTTGTTTTATTCCTGTAGCCATGATTGTTGTTTTTTTTTTTTTATTTATTTTTTTTACATAAATAAATTTCTTATGCAGTGATTTCTTGTGTTCATATATGCATATATAAAAGTTTTTTTTTTAGCTTTATTAGATATTATTATCTAAGTTATCTTTTGATTTATAAATTTAAATATTTTTTTTATAAAGAATAATAAATAACAAGACCAGAGTAAGTAAATAATGCATTTATTTTATTCTAATTTTTCTTTCTTAGTATTATTATTTTTTTACATATTTTACATATTTTATTTTGTCATTAATTTATTTTAAATATTTTATTCTTTGGATTTTCTTTTTTAATTTTTTAATTCTTGTAAATAATAACATTTATAATGATGAGATAAATATAAAATATTAAACTTCATTATACAGACACACCAAAGTAAGAAGCATTCACATGAAACTATACTTCAAAACAGGAGAAAAAACTTCATTAAAGTTAATACCTTGTCTTCGTGTAAAGTCTTTTACTACAAGTCTTACTTTGAATTTTATTCTGTCTTTCTTCTTGAATACCCATCTACAACCCACAATTCTTTTGAGCAACTAGTTTCTTAATAAACTCACAAGTTTGATTCTTGTGAAGAGATTTAAGCTCTTCTTTCATGGCACATTTTGATGCTTCATCACAATTAACTGCTTCATAGGATGAACTATGTTCCTCTTCACCAATGCTTTCTACCATATTGAGTACAAAAGAAACAAAGTCACCATACCTTTTTGGTACTTTGATTTATCTTCTTGGCCTATCTCTAACCAATATATATTCATCTCTATTATTGTGATTTTATCATGTGTCTCTTTTATGTTTTGTTTATTAAAAGCTTCAATTTCAAGCTCCACCTCTTTGTGAGCACCATAAACTTCAACTTTATTATCATGGTACTTACATGGTCTTGGATTAAGTATGACTTTCTTATCCAAGGTCACATCTCTACTAATCATGAACTTTGATTCCTTAGGGTCTTATAACTTGTACCTTTTTACACCATCTTGATAGCCCATAAATATGTATTTATTGGCTCTAGTTTTTATCATTAACATGAGCATAAGTTATACACACAAAATTGAATAATTTGTAGAGCCTGACCATATTTCCTCTGTAGTCTTGCAATCAATAGCTATAGAAGGTGACCTATTCACCAAATAAGTCGCAGTATTCATTGCCACTACCCAAAATTGCTTAGGCAAATATTCGTTGGCAAGCGTAATTTTTGAAAAGTTATAAAGAGTTCTAAAATAAATTTCAAGAATATTGTCTCACAAGGATTGTTCTCAAATACCAATAATATCTTAATTTAATTGTTTGAACTAAAAAAATGCATAATGAAATAAAATAAAGAAGAATTCAGATCTAAAGGTAATTCAAATGAAAAAAAATAATGTAACCTATGATAATAAACTATTCGAGATGAATTCTATGACATACAAGTTCAATGGTTATGTAAGACAAAAAAGAAGAGAAAACGTGAGCTCATGAACTTGTTAATTTTATAATGATTGAAGAGAAAAACTAAGTTTAATCAACTTAGTTTTTTATCTCATTTTATTATATAGATTCATTAATTATGTGGTATGGTCATTTATAATATAATTAATTATGACAAGCTTTTCTAAAATATATTTTTACCTTACTTTTCCAAATTTAAGGGAAGATGTTAGAATCACCAAAAAAAAATCTTTTGTGCACTTGTAGTTAGCTTTGATGAAAGATAACTTATATTTTGATTTAGACTAATTTTTTATTTTTATTTTTTACAAATTATGCTTTCTTGACTCTTATCATAACTACAACAACTGTGTGTTGATTAGATAGATAGATACCAACTTGTGTTTTTAAGGAAATGTATAAGTGATATAGTCTTTTTTATCTTCTTAATGCTTGTCTACGTTGAATAAAACCAGACTAAAAAAATAAAAATTTAAATATAACCTTGATTATTAAATAATCATATATATATATATATATATATATATTAGTATAAATTATATTTATTCTTACAATTTTTAATACTTTAATGTAGAAATTACTTTTATTAATTCAACTATTAAAATATAATTATATATTATTTAAATTATTTATGTTAAATTTGGTTAAAATTAGACATTTATATAATTATTATTAAATTATCTTTATTTTTATAAATTTTAAAAGTATATATTAGGTCAATTTTTATGCATATTAATATGATATTATATAATTTTTAATCAATTTTAAATTATATATATATATATATATATATAAAGTTAATATTTTATTTTAACACCTTTTAGAATTACAAAGTAATTATAAAAGAGTAAAAGATTATATTATAATAATGTAAATTTAACCATTTGAAGGGGAAGCATGAGGGAAGACATTTGAAATTATACAATTATGTGCAAAGTATAGAAACCAAGGATGTTAGATGTCTACTGTAAAAGTTTATGAAACAATTAAGAGTTAACAACCCATCAACAGGGAAAGAAATACTAAGCATACAAGTCAATTGAAGATCATAGCAATTTAATTGATATTTTCAAAATGCATTTCATACACCTTTTTACACAGTCGAATGAAAATTACGTGTCAGACGGTGGTGGAAGTGATGCAACGACTGGGAAAATAGTCAAAGGCTATTGTGGGACCTGAGAGTAGGATTTTAATTCAGCAGAATGGAAATTAATGTTTTTTTTTAAGACATTAATTAAATAATTACAAATTTAAAATATTTATAAAAATATACTATTTAATTTTATTAGCTCATTTTATCACCACTTTTAATAAAAAAAATATTTATTAAATTTTAATTAATATCTAAAAAGACACTTGTGTATATAACCTTTAACTGAACATATAAAAGCCTGTTACTATTTGTGTCCACTGGTATTTCTTATTTAATAAGTTAATGAATGTGTAGTCCGATTACCTTTTTTTTTTCTCTATCTCTCTTTCTTTTCTTGTCTTACGTATTCCAAACCTGAAAAGAGATTTTAGTTTTCTTATTGTTTTTTTTTCTTTCAAACTCTGCTGCTAAAACTGTTCACAAATGGAGTTAAATTGGATTTAGCCAAAAATCAAATTCAAATCAATTACATTTAATCAGATTAAATAGAGTCAGTTTTATCAAGATATTTTTTATCAATCTAATTCAAACCAACTCCATCAAACTTGAGTTGGATAAAATCAAATTATCAAGCTGAAATAAATTTATAATTTTATACTTTTAAAAAGAGTTTTTATGAAAATTATAATAATATTGAAAATAAAGATAAAAATTTATACTCCTTTTATCTTCTTTATAAAGTATCTTCTCGAAGATTTAAGTGATTTATTTTCTAAAAGACTTTATAATTTCTCTAAAACATTTATTAAGCTTTTTTTTTCATTTGTAGTTAATAAATGGAATTTATCATAACTTAATACAAAAGACTTAATTGCACTTTTGGTATTATACCACAGCGTATGTGTAATTTTGGTACTTTAATTTTAATTGTTTATATTTCGTCCTTCTAATTTTTAACTATTTAAATTAAGTCTTCTACTCTAAAATTTTATTCAACAATTAATAAAAATAATTTTTTTATCAATTTATATAAATAAATAAATAAGTGTACATAATATTTAAATAAAAATACAAAATAATATATGTCAAATATAATAAAAAAAACTTAATTTTTGGGATGAATTACTTAATTTGAGCATTTGAAAAATTAGAAAAATTAGAAAAATTAAATTTTAAATTTATTACTAAAATAACATGAATGAAAAAATGTGGGTAGAAAATAAAAAATATGATTTGCTTTAATACTCTTAAGTAAACAATATGAAGAATAATATTTATATTTTATATAAATCAAAATACACTTAAATATAATTATTTAAAAACAGTATATTGCACGATGATTCAATTTAAAAATTATAAGTAGTATGCTTTTATTTTTATTGAAATTTACTTTGACATTTCTTTGACAAAATATATCAAACTATATTTTTTGAAAAATATATTAACAAATATCCTTAATACATTAATTTAAAGTTTAAAAGTAATTCTTTTATAATAAAGTATTTTCAACATGCATATAAAAAATTGTTCTATGTTTTAACAAAAAAGAATTGCTTTATTAATTGCTATTTTCTGAATCAAAATATTTAAGACTCCTCAGCGAACGTTGTTAGAATTATGAGCAGACTCGGTGCCTTGTAGATCCATACTCCTTTATATAGCAATACTTATTTATGCATGGTTAATTTTTTTTCTAATTAAAAATAAAGAAAAACTTACCCAAGTAAAGAAATATAACGGAACAGAGTATGTATTAAGCACCGAAAATTTACTCCACTGCGTTAGTCGCCGTGGCCCGTTTCCTTTAAATAAGTGCTTAGTGCTGCTTTTGAAGCCGAAATGTGAAGTGGTTGGAACAAAGAAAAAATGCATCGAATGATGACGAGCTTTATCAACCTCAAAATATGGCTTCTAAACTTGTTTATCTTTTTCAATATCCTTTCCTTCTCTCATGGAAGGCCTAATCTCAAGCTTCCAGTAAAAGCAGTTAATCTGGGTGGTTGGCTCGTTACTGAAGGTTGGATGAAACCTTCTCTGTTTGATGGAATTCCAAATAAAGACTTTTTGGTCAGTAAATATTTCAATAACTTCATTATAATCATTATGTGTGAATTCTTTTTATACCCCTTTTTAATTCATGGTAAACTGTTTTTGTAGGATGGAACTGGTCTTCAGTTCAAATCTGTCACAACTGGGAAATATCTCTGTGCAGAGTCAGGAGGTGGAAATATCATTGTTGCAAATCGCACTTCTGCTTCCGGTTGGGAAACATTTAGTGTGAGCCAGCTATCTCTTGTATTATATCAGAATTTCTTAACAATTTTTTGAGGCGATTCGTTGGTATTTGTCTTATATTATTCATTAGTAAATTAATTATATCAGAATTGCTTCGAAGGGTGACTGATATTTTGATGATGTTCCCTGTTGTATTGTGTTTAGTTGTGGAGGATAAACGAGGAAACTTTCAGATTCAGGGTGTTCAACAAACAATTTGTGGGGCTAGATGGGATTAACGTTGTTGCTGTTTCCAATATTTCCATTGATTCGGAGACGTTTCACGTTGTTAAGGAAAGTGACAACTCAAGCCGTGTTCGAATCAAAGCTTCCACCGGATACTTCTTGCAGGTGATCCCCTGCTTTTTATCATTTCCAAGTTTCTTTCGGAGAAAGAAAAAAGAAAGAAACTTTCTGCCAATTATAGGAAGACCCCTAAGAAATTGAGAAAAAAAAAAAGTTAGAAAACTTGACAGAATGACGCTGTTTTTGTATATTTCCAAGTTAACTTGGTTATTTGAAGTATTTTAAAAATTAATACTATATATTATCTTTTTACTTTTTTAAAAATCTTTTTGGGTTATCACGTCTTAAAAATATATTTTAACCATAAATGATGACTTAAGAGTGTTCTTTGTCAGTGGTTTAAAAAATATTTTACTTAAAATCAATGTCACTTTGAATTCACGTTCAATTCACAAGCTTGTAGAAAAATATGTATTTAAAAGTATGTTAAAAAGTTTATAAATATAAATTTAATATAAAAGTTACAAATCGTAATATTAAAATAAATGCACTATATTTATTTGAACACGAAACCAAAAACACAGCTAGATCCGTGTCTAAATTCCCATTTAAATGGGCAAAAACTTAAATATATTTAAACATTATTAATTATAATTTTTACATGAAATTTATATTTACATATTTTTTAACTCACTTTCAAATTCAAGCTTAATTTTCTTCCACAAAGAGTGTAATATTATAACCATTGACATGCATGTCTAGATAGTGTATTATTCATCGGGTGGACTTGGCGCAGGCAAAGACAGAGGAGCTGGTGACTGCTGATGTTCCAGAGGTCAGCGGATGGAAAAATGATGATCCAACCGTTTTTGTGATGAGAATCGCTGCAAGGATGCAAGGTGAATTCCAAGTCACAAATGGTTATGGCCCCACAAAGGCTCCCCAAGTTATGAAGGTAACATTCATATTAAGTTGTTCATCAAAACAAAAGACACCAATTGATGCTAAGTAAGGAATCGACCAACAGTGTCTTAAGTTGCTGGTCGTGTTAGTAGCATGAGACACTGTTCAATAGTCAAAACAATCAACTTTAGCCACAAGAGTGTGTATTAACTTGTATATATGATGTTGTTTTTAAGAGGGTGTTATAACTTGTACATGTATGTATGCATTAACTTCTTTTATATTTAAATATTTATAAGTTATAAATATTTAAAAAACTCTTTTGAAGAAAAGCAAAAATTTCTTTCAGAATGATGAAAACCAAATATGTTTCTCTTGTACATATATTTTTGAGAGCGTATTAGTTTTGGTGGTTATATAATTGCTTGTGATTTACATTAATAATAAATATTAATTTTTAAAATTCTAATTGCATATTTCTGTTCTTTTGATTACATTTGTCTACCCATAAATAGGTCGGTTCAATTGAAAATCCTGCTATAAATAATGCCCGGCGCCGGTTTTGAAAATTCTATACACAACTGTCATATAGAATTGTTGATTTATAGTTTTAGGCCAAGTTGTCAACCCTCCCAGTTCACATGGGATGTTCAAAGGACTCTTCTATTAGGAGCTTTGTTATAATTTTTTTTACATATTTTTATTATTTTATAAAATAAGTATTAAATAAAATAAAACATATATTTATTATCTTAATGATATAAAAATATTTAATGATTTTTCATTTAAAAATTAAAAAATATTATAAACATAAAGAGGTCTAATTTCTTGATGTCTATATATCTAGCAAGTTGTTGTGAGAATGATTGATGGTGTGGGCTTTCACAGGAACACTGGAGCACTTTTGTAGTTGAAGATGATTTCAAGTTCATAGCCAGCAATGGATTGAATGCTGTTAGAATTCCAATTGGGTGGTGGATAGCGAGTGGTCCAACTCCACCCCCACCTTATGTTGGGGGTTCCTTGAACGCACTAGACAATGCCTTTTTGTGGGCACAGTAAGTCCATATGCAAAATAAACTAACTTCTTTTCTAATAGATATAGAAAATTAATACTATTATATTAAAAGGGCTTAAATTGATAAGTAGTTTATAAACAAAATTATTTGCTTTAGTTCTTAAATTTTTCTAAATGACACATCAACATTTATGTTATGCATTTAACCAAGTGATTATTTTAAAATGACTTTGTTGTCATCCTTTAATTTAGTTGAAATTTCATTTGGATAATATGCTTAATTTAACATGTGTTGATCTATAATACTTATATATAAGTATTATAGATCAACACATGTTACTAACGGGAAACTCTATAACTCTGATTGGAAAATAGTATCACCAATACCTATGATACTGTAACTAAGTATATTTTATTTTATTGAAATTAATGATCTACTTCCAGGAAATATGGATTGAAAATCATCATTGATCTTCATGCTGCACCCGGCTCTCAAAATGGCTTCGAGCATTCCTCTTCAAGAGATGGTTCACTAGAATGGGGAAGAACAGATGAAACCATTCAACATACAGTTCAAGTTATAGATTTCCTAACCGCAAGGTTTATAACTTACATATAGGCACTATTCTGTGTACTTCATTTTGAAGTTCTAACATTTTATCATGGTGTGATATTTTCATGGAAGATATATAATTAGTCGCATATTGTTGTGAATGATAGGTATGCAAAAAGCATAAGCCTTTATGCGGTTGAGCTACTAAATGAGCCTCTCTCACCTGGCGTGACGGTAGAAAGCTTGGTTAAGTACTACAAGGCCGGTTATGATGCAGTGCGCAAGCACTCTTCCACAGCATATGTGGTGTTATCAAATAGGATAGGACCCTCACAGCCTAGGGAACTCTTCCCTCTTGCAAATGGCCTTAAGCTATCTGTGATTGATGTTCATTACTACAACCTCTTTCAAGATATATTTAATGACATGACTGTTCAACAAAACATTGATTTCATCAACAACAACCGCTCATCACAATTGAGTTCCATTACAACCTCAAATGGCCCTCTTATTTTTATTGGTAAGGCTTCTATTTATCTTTCATTCTCCCAAAATATATTAATATTATGGATTCATTTTAGTCACTAGTTTATGGTTGCACTTTCAAATAAAGTTTTTTTAAGGGCCATTCTTAATCCATAATCTAATCAATTAAACAAACTATTTTTACCGTGATGAAAAGTAATAAGATACATATAATGTATCATCTATGGAGACCATGAATTGTGTAATTTTCCTTATAATAAATATAGGGATTTGTCTTCATTCACTTTGAAGGAAAAGAAGGAACCTCAACTATTGTTCAGAAAATCAATAATTAAAATTATATACACACAAAATAAATCAAAAGTTAATTTGTTATCAATTACTACTCTCTTAGTTTTCTAAATAATCGTTGGCATGTCTTCCTTTTCTGTCTAAAGTGAATTGTTCGCATTAAATGAGTCAAATATAATAGTAATGTTTTAAATTATGAATTATAAAATGTTTGTTCTCACTGTGTAAGGAATAATGTTTGTCATACACTTCACACTTAAAAGTATAAGAAATGGGAAAAAAAATAGAGATAAAATAAATAAAAATATATTTAATGATGTGGTGAGAAAGATAGAAAGAGATAGAGGAAAAAAATGAAACAAAAAAAAATAGAAAAATATTGTGTAGATATATGAATATAGTTATTGTAATGTAAATTCTTATCTTTCTCCGTCACAAAGAATCAAACGATGTATATTGCCATTTTTAGACTTCATGTTTTTAAATTGAAATTCTAACTGGCTCAACATTAATTTAAATTTAAGGTGAATGGGTTGCTGAGTGGGGAGTGAAGGGAGCTTCAAAAGAAGAATACCAAAGATTTGCAAAGGCTCAATTAGATGTTTATGGGCGTGCAAACTTTGGGTGGGCTTATTGGGCTTTCAAGAACGTCAACAACCACTGGAGTTTGGAGTGGATGATCAAGAATGGTTATATCAAATTGTAGAATGCTTCCTCTTGAGGCTAGCACCCTGTCCCAATAATCTTTTGCCCAAATGATTGCTCCATACAAACTATAATTATCCTTATTTTAACTTTTAGATTCCTTTTAGTAAATGTAGTATTTGAGTCATGTACATGTTGTATATCTTTTTTGGTAACATTTATTTAGTAAATAATAACATTTTATAAAATATATCTAAAGGTAAAAAAGTTACTTATTAATGATACTTTTCAAAAATGCTAGTAATTATATATAAAAAATTATTGTGAAAGGTAATTGACTTTTTCAAATACTACATAAAAATAAAAAAATAAAAGAAAGTATTAATTATGTTAAAAACAAATTAAGGATCTAAAGTATTCTTAATTAAGTTTGAGACTGAATTATTAATAAATTTTTCTTATCGCTTTACTTTCTTTTCGTTCTCTTTCTTTCAAACTTCATCATGAGCTTCGTGCATTTTAGGTGTAATTAACTTTCTTCCAAGTCCTTTACCACATATCTTTCTTGTTACTTTTATAAAATATACTTTTAACTCATTCCTCCCGTATTTAATCTACAGACATTATAACACTTATTTATCTTTGAAATTTTAGGTTTAAAAGTTTCCTCATTTGTCAATCCTTGAAAAATAGTATTGGCCTCGTGTTACTTTCTTTTCTAATCTTTCTTTCCATTGGACCAACAGACGAGGTATTGGTATCATGGTAGTTAGTATCACACGAAACAGAATATGAAACTACTGATTTGATACGAATCAGGGATGCAAGGATACAAATTGCAGGATGAATCATTTTGTATCTAGAATTGAATCGGAAATCGTAGGAATCACATGAATCGCTGTTGAACCACGATTCTCCTTGGCGTCGCATGATTCAAGCGCAAACTAGGTTGCACAAGAAACAGGTTGGGTTGACACGACTTGGTTTAGTAAAAAACCCTAATAAACCTTTTTTTTTTTTGTAGAAATACCAATTTCTGCCTAATATTGCCTCTGCCGGTCAACTCGCTCTTTAATATTAAAAGAAAACATTTTTTTTTCATTCCCTCCTCATTCCCGCACATTCCTTTTTTCCATACACACTGTTTCATGCTATTATGGTGATCCTCTTTTCCCCTTTTTTATTTGGATTCACCTCTTTTTTTTGCTTCTTGTTTGCTATTTGCGAAGATAAATGGTCCTACAAAATGTGACTGACTGTTATAATTTAAATTCTAATTTGATTATAAGTGTGTGTGACATTATCAACTATATATTATTTAACTTCAAAATGTTAATATATAAATGTTTTTATGTTATTTATATTACAATACTCTTATATTTATGTTTTTTATGTTTTAAATTATTAATCTTAAATTTTAAAATTTAAGATATGATTTGATTTACTGTTCAAAAAATAAGTCTTACGGTTTATAATTTAAATTCCGATTTAATTACCTTTGATTACCCCATTTTACAACTTTGATTGGAGTGCTACACGTCCTCTGGTTCCATCGGTTCCTCCAAGTCCTCTTCTAATCCCAAAGGTAAAGAAGGTTTAACACTATGGTGTTCAACATTTTGGTTTCCCGCAACTTTCTTTAACTGTGAAACAGGAAAGATCAAATGAATTTTGGATGATGTGAAAAGCAAGTTGATATGCTACAGTACTAACTTATGCACTATAAAAGGATTATAAATCAAGCAGGGTTTTTGATTAATCATTCGAGCCACTGATTGTTGTTTGTGAAGCCTGAGTTTCAATATTATTATATATTGTGCATTATTATAATGTTCTAATATTTTAACATTTTATTTTGTAAATATAGTCAATCTTTTCAATTAACGATCTTGATAATATATATATATATAAATTTTTCTTGTAGGCAATAAAGTTAACTCTTGAATTTTTTTTTCGTATAATCATTTGTCTTTTGTGATTCTTCCACGACAGTTATTATTACAATAAAGTTTTAGATTATTTAATTAGTGAAGAAGTTAAAGAAACAGTATAAATCTTTTGTCCACTATTTTAACTTAGTATTATGGTTAAGAAATAATGTGCTAATTAATATCTCCATTTGTAAAAGGACAGATAGTGTTGTATTAGTTTTGAGCAAGTAAAATTACTACACAAGAATATTGAATAAAATGTTTAAAAAAAATAGAGTTAACAAAATGAACTATCCAATTTATTTGAACAGTTCATTACAGTCAATGGACTTTAACAGGCTCAATCTAGAAAGGTTAGATGCAATTCAGACTAAATTTTCAATCTCTGCTAAATTAGAATTTTAGAATTTTTGTAAATTTTTTGCAAGCTTTGCATACATCAGGCTTAATTATGTTAAGCTGAAAATGCTTGAATTTAATTTGTTCTAAAAATTTAAAGTCACATTTAACTGGGTGAATTTATATTAGCTTGATTGAACAAACTCATTTTGTCAACTCTAAAAAAAATAGGAGTGTTCAATCAAGCTAATATTAAATTGGTTTTAAAAATCTAAATCTATATTAAATCAATTTTTTTTTAACTATACTTGTGTAACTAGTTTATTGTCTAAATCTATTTTTTAAAATCAATTTTTTTTTAGTTATCTAAATCCATATGTATGAAACAATTTTATATCTTTATTTATTAAATTTCAGTATTATATTAGTTTACAAAATTTTATTGTAACTATATTTTACCACTAATATTTTTTATTAATCTTAATTTTTATAATTAAAATTAAATATTTAAAATAATTAAATACATTAAAATATAAAAAATATTTTTAAATTAATTACCACCGTTATTTTTATATTTTTTTTAATTTTTAAAATATTATAACAAAAAATTTATTATTATTTATATTATTAATTTTTATTTTTATAGATCTTAATTTAAATTTTTACTATAAACTCTGTTTATTAAAAATAAGTTAGAAATAATAATAAATATTTTATATACTTCTATAAAATATAATATATTAATAAATATTGTTAAAATCTTTACAAAATCTATTAATTTAATACAATATTTTGTATAATAAATTAGTTTTACCTTAAAAATATAATTCAAAAATATATTAAAAATTAATTTGTGTTAAAAATTAAATTTAAAATTAGATTTAAAACTAATTTAACGTAAAACTAAATTTAAAACTAGTTTCAACAAAAATCAATTTTAAAATCAATTTTAAATTAAATTTTAATTTTAAAACTATTTTTGAACCGATTAAAAAAATAAAATAAAATATTTTAAAATTCAACTCATATAATTAATTTGTGTGATGGATAGATGATAAAAAGTATAATATATCTAAATATTTATTGCTTTAATGAAATATAAAAATAAAAAATATGATTAATGAATTAAAATATATCTAAATATTCTCTGGACATGTATTGTTAATGTAATAGATTAGAATACTCCTTGTATTCATATTTTATCTTTAATAAAATAAATAAATAAATATAAATATATATATATAATATTATATTATTTATTATGAAATTTAAATATTTTTTAATATAATAATTTAATAATAATTAAAAAAATATATAGTATATTTTTGCCATATGTAAAAATAGTTTAAAATTGATTTTAAACCAAATTCAAATTTTAAAACTAAATTTAAATCAGTTTTAGAAAAATTAAAATAGATTAGTTTATAATCCAATCCATATAATTAGATTTTAAATGGATCTAGATTGGTTTTTTGAAAATCCAATCCGGAGTTGCCATATTTTAATAAGCAATTGATAATAGAAGAATTTTATTAAAAACTTTGATAACTTTTAATTTATTACACTTTATAACTTTAATATAATAAATATTTTTTTCAATAATTTTTTTCTACTTTTGGACACTAAAACATTATCCTAAGAGCTAAGAAGAGAAAAACTCATATATATAATGGAGTTCTTATTAATTATTTATATTATACTTTTATTTTGTGTTCTATAATTTAATAATTTTTAATTAAAATTTTTATAACTAATTTTTTATTATTTATTTCACTTTAAATTCTTAAATTTTATATTTTTATTTTTACTAAAAGAATTGGGAGCATACATTTAACAAAATTTTTTGGCCGTCTCATTAACACTCCTTATTATTACATTTTAAACTGTATTTAGGTTAATATTTAGTTATTGACAAATTTATATAGTGTAAGCTTATTTATTTATTCAATATGATTAATTTTCATTTTACAATATGAAATATCTTCATTTTGTGCTAAAATTGAAGTATAACTGAATATTTTTAAAATTTTATCTTTTTTTTTTTATCAAAGGTATTTTATTTTGTCATTGGGGAGGGAGATTAGGAGAAGGGGAAAAAGATGTAGGAATTTTCAAGACCCAGAATTGAAATCCAGATCATCTTGCATATAAACTTGCTAGCTTACACTTGAGTTAGAGTTGTCAAAACGGGTAGCCCGACCTGACCCGACCCAACTCGATACGAGTAACGGGCTCAAATGGGTCGAGCTTAATTAGCCCAAGGTAAAAATAGACTTATATTTTTACTACTTAAGTCTTACCCTATGCGGGCTACGGATTTCTGCGGACTAGCCCGACAACTCAAATAATTTTTTTTTTCTTATTTTGCAACATGTCATCTTTTTTACTGTTTTTATAACAACAAATCATTATTTTTATTGTTATTTTTAGTGTTTGTAACATATCATGTTAAGCTATATTTGTAAAAACTTAATAGACCACTCGTTTTTTATGTCCAATTTTTTGTATTATACTATTTTTTTTAAGTTGTAAAAGGTTACTGGTTTCTTTCTTTTTTTTATTGTTTTTGTAGCAGTGTAAAAGTATATAATTTAGACTTGTAATTTTAGGATTTTGAAACTAAAATATATTCCCTTTCAAACTCCTTAAAACTCAGGGTTTAATCTCAATATATATATATGGACTGCCCGAACCCGCATGGACCAACCCGGTTAAAGTCCTATCGAGTACCGAGCTTATTCAAATCAGGCCAAAATGGCCAAGATAATTTTGGACTTATTTTTTAGAGCGTAAACTTGCCTATTTAACGTAGTTTTTTAAGCCCAATCTATTAGGCCAGCCTATTTTACCGGC